AGGAATGCTTTTTGCCCAGTGTTTACACAACCCCAATAAGATCCTGATACCTGAAATTCTCCTAAGGACTACTGCAGATCACCCACTCGGTAATAATGCCCAATCCGACCTTGTGCGTAAACCAGAGAAGACAGGATGGTTTCTGCCAAAGGTACCAGCCTACCAGAAATCTAGTTTCCTACTGGGCAAGAAAATACAGGAATTTCAACAGGAATTCTCCAGTTACACAGGGTAGTTTCTGCCAGTTTCCACTCACAGATATAACAGAAGAAAAAAGACATTCCACTCATCTCATCCTAGAAGCAGCCTGTGGGAAGAGCTTAGTTTCTTGAATCTGGCAAAATACAGATGAAGAGGAAGCCCAAATAGTTCTTGAGAATACATCAGCTATGCAAATCCCAACACAACAAAAAGACTCTATGCAAGTCAAAGATGGCACTTAAGAAATGGAGATAGACTGGCCATCCATATCTATAAGCTGCACATCAGCAGAAAGTTTCTAACAGTTAAATATTTCGTAATTTGAAACAGCCTCCCAAAAAGAGCTATAGTAAGAGAAAAGCATAGCAGACACCTAAATGGTGTTTGTAAATGGAGATTAGCCTTAATGAGGAGTTATGAAAAGGATTGTATGACATGGATACCTACAAGAGTAGGAAATAAGACTTAGTGGCCTCAAAGTTGAACAGTCTCACTCTGCCTGCACTTTATTTCCTAAATTATTGTTCATCTTTCGATGACTGGAGGGTTTGGGGCAGTCAAAAAGTCTCCTTGTCATTCTGCACTACTTGGCTGGCAATTTTTTGAATTATACTTGCAGCCTGACTTTTGTAGGCATTCCCGTTTTTTAAGCAGCTTTGTCCTGTGGCAGACACTGAGCGGAGATCCAAGAACCCTCAGTTCTTTCCTTAGAAATAGGTATAATTATATTGCCCTGCATTATCCATTCATGTTTTGAGATGCTCACTTATTAAAACAAAGGGCCACTGACGCACATAGTGAGGCACCATAAATCTTTGAAACCATTCAGAGAAAATATTTCATAACTGCTATCTACTTGTATGCTTGGGAATGGCTTGACATCTCTTAAATCAGCTGTGGGCTTCATGCCAGCCTCGGTGTCTACTGCCTGCTACATATGTGCAAATGCCATCTGGGGATACAAGGACTCTGACTCTTCCACGGAGACCAGGGACCAACATAAAACTCACTACCTTTTATCCAGGGATAACAGTCCATTCCAGCTCCCATTCTTCAGCCCACTTTGCAAAAATTGGCAGAGTCAGCAGAGGCTGAGGAGTCCTTGGTACCTCAGGAGGAAGCCATTCCCAACCCCCTTCCAACTGAGAGCTGAGGCCAGACTGGCTATTTTGACTATATCTCCTACTCAGTTTAGGTTGTAAATGCTCCAAGTGTGCAGTGCCTGGAACAGCTGCCTTTCTTTATTGGCCTTCAAGTGCTTCTGAAATAAACAATATCATTAGTATCATTAATGCCTGCTGCCAATGCTGCAGGTGATATGCAATTTGCTTGGCTGATGCTCTGTAGATAACTAAGAGTTTCCTTCAGGCAGGCTGCACATCCACCTCCACACATTTTATAGGAGCAGTAAGTTCTGTGTAAGTGATATTTGAATATTCAGACTTTCAGAGTGAATTATTTGCATATTAGACTGAGGTTCTCCAAAAAATGACTTTTTCAAGTGTTAATTAAATTTCACTTACTTGCATATGTATTTGAGAAGGTTGTAGTTGGCTTGGGGCAAATTCTTCACCTGTTTAACCAGTTCCTGGGTTCCCTAAGTGACAGAACAAACAAGAAAGTAAGTTATTAATATAAATGACGCAAAGCATGCATGATTCTACTCCAGTGCTAAAAAGTCCTCTTCCCAGAGTCAAACCCATGAACCGTAGCACTAGGAGGATCTCCAGAGACCCAGAGTGGGTATACTGTGTCATCCCCAGCCTGCCTTTAAATGGTGTATCCACCCAGTGGATACATCACCTCTCAGGAGGAAGAGGAGTTCTACTCTCAAATTCAGAAACACTAGTAATATAATCTGTCTTTGAGCTCAAAGGACGTGGATGAGCTTTGCTGCTTACAGAGCTCCTTTTGCTTGCAGTGGTGCAGGGGACAGTGTCTGATTCTGTTTCAGAAAGTTCTAAAGTCTGGTGCAGAAAGCCTCTGAGAGCATCAAAACCCAGCAAATTGCATTTCTAGAGCTTGCAAAAACCAAATATGCCACAGACTTACGTGAAGCCATTGCGTATGTCACTTGACCAAGCTCTCCAACCCTACCACCTGTAGTCTGGCTGCACAACCTCCCCCAGCCTGAAGGAAGTCCTAGGATGCTTGGTGCATAGCAACACTATACTTCTGTGCTACCTTCCGTGCTAGAATCTCCTAACACTGCAGAAGTGTTGGTGTACAGGCCCCAGAATTAGGTTATGGGTGTGTAGGTGGGAAATAACAATATATCACTGTATTTCGGACACAAAAACCTAAGGCAAGGGAGACAAAAGGAATCATTTCAAACAACAGAACTACCTGGGAGAGAATCCAGAAGTCCCAGTTTGCAGTCCTAGCATGCAGCTGTGCTCTCGATAGCAATGATAAGAATAGCATTGCGAGGATTTACTGCCTTCCTCTAAGTAGAGGCAGAGGTATGAGGAAAATGATTCATTGCTTTCATGGGATTAGAACCACTGGTCCCAGTAAGACAGATCACTACATTTGGTGTACGCACCACACAGAGTCTCAAAACAGCCTCTCCGTAAGCGTGCTATTGGCACAACATGCAGCAGAAATTATCCCAGGGATGCGGCATTGCCAGGATCTTTCCCCAGCTTGAAAAAACAGAGCTGGAATTTTTTATTTAAAATTCCAAAGGACAGACAAAGAAAGTAACCAGAAAAGCCAGCTGGGCTGTCTAGAACGAAAGGAAAACCACCCACTCTGCAATTCACTGAGTATGCAGGTTTATTCCCCAACCTCCAAAAATCTTTTGTCCAAAAGAAAAAGGCTGCAGAATTCTTGAAGTCAAACCACAGCCTGAAATACTGAAACCCCAATGTCCAGAACTTGATTGAGTTCTCAAAATCAGTAGAAAGTCTTCTGTGGATTTTAATGGCTACTGTAAAGGCCTTCAACTAGCGAGGCCTGCCAGTCTTCAGAGAGTCAGCACAAACGAACCAGCATTTCTGCCTTTTCAGCACCCAACCTATTTGAAATTTTGAGGCATCCAGAGTGTACTGTACATTCCAGTAACGCTGAACTGAGCAGAGGCAAGTGTTTCTTTAAAAAAAACTAACAGCATTCCAATCCAACTACCTCTTTTTAATGTATTTACTTCCATTCGCAGTCATTTTGAGCTGCAACATACTTCATAACATCAGTGTGTTACATTAAAACGTGAGATGAGATGTCTGCATGAGGAATGACTTCAAACCCTCAAGCTACTTGAATTGTCTAATGAAAACCTCTGACTCAGAAGACTGTTGTCCTTCCAAAGCCCCAGTATCATTTGCTTGTTCCCTTTGGTTTTGCAGTTGCTCTGGAGATTTGCTAATTTTTTGAGACAACTAAGCTTTTTGTGGGAAGATGAGATATCCAGAAGTGTTTGTGAAGACTGAGCTTTGGATTGCTAACTAATGATGGAGAAATTGCAGAAACAGCTGGTTCCAAGTCAGAGAACCATGTCTGGACTTTTATTTCAACCTTTCCCCAAGTTATTAAGAGACGTTAGGGAGAGTTTTTCTGTTGGCCAGCCTCTTGCAAGATCTTCATGACTTCTCTGGTCCAGACAAGTCAGAAAGACCCAGACAGCAGTCCCTGCTCCTGCCTCCATCCTCATTGCCCTGAACGCACAGACAATTTTTTCCTTCTCCTGAATTTTACAGCACAAAAAAGTCATCCAACTGATAAAAAACTGAAATTTCAAAGGATAGATACTTAAAAGTGATTAGTCTTTTTTAATTCCTTAGGTTCAAAAGAGTGGCAAAAATGAACCCACCAGTAAAAGACCTTTCACTTTTGGAAATACCAATCCCCTTTTTTGAACTTCTGAAAACATCTGAATCAAGGACAGCTGTTATTGAGGTGACAGTTGAGGTCAGTTACTCAGGTCATCCAATCTTATAGTGAGGACTCTGAGCTAGATACAGTCAAGCTTACAGATCTAATTCTCTCCTGAGTTTTCCTCTGTGAACCGATTTATTTCAAATACAGAAATCAGGATGGCATTTGGCACTGTATTTCAAGTGCTCTGAATTAAAATACCCTTGCTCCATTAGATGTGAGAGAGGGCTTTGCAGTGGGAACTGCAAGCAGATTGGAACAGAACAGCTGGAACAGAACAGAACAGCTGGAAACATGACCTAAAGATAGAAGACCTGACCTGAAATCAAAAAAAGGATCTAAAAATTATCATCCATGCTGTGTCACTGAGAAATCACAATTGCAGGACTACACAAAAAGTGTCCTTAGATACATCAAGGTTCAAACTCTTGCCAGGTTAAAAAAAAGCTTTCTCTCCTTCTGCAGCCATCTCAGGAACATTTATCAACTCCGCCACAGATTTGTGCCCACTAACCATGTGCCCAAGAGGATGCTGGAGGTCTAAGCCTAGCAACATAAAGAAAAATGCAAGGCAGAAACTGCACAGAAAATGCTTATGGCTCAGGCTAAGCAGGGCAGGCACTGCGCTGTTGTCATTCATCATTACGATATTTTGCAATAATAAGTCTTACATCCTTGCAAATGCAGCACATCTAACTTAACCGTAGGTGCATGCTTTTCAAGGAGCAGTCCCAGAAACAAGGAATTTGCAATGTGTATTAACAGATCAGCCCCAACAGGGAGTTTCTAGTCGGTTTGGAAAACCAGAAACACTTCAGATCTTCACCCACATTCAGTCCCTTCTTTAAAAACTCAAAGCCAGATGCTTAGCCCTCAGAGTTGCTGTGTGCATCTCTAGAATATAGGCAGCACTGCAGGCCAAAATACAACCATGACAAGTCACCTCAGGCTTAAATGAATGTTTAGAGTTTCCAAGATAATCTCTTCATTCTTTTTCTAAAACTAGTTTTCATTTTCAGTTCGTCCTCCCTACCAGTTGGTATCAGAATTAAGTCTTGGTAAGGCAGCAGTGCTGCTGAGATACCTGGTGGCCTCAGTGTAGTCCAAGGACTGTTAAGATTCTAGTTGCATTTCAACACCAGAGACTAGTTAGGTGCAGAATGAAGACGAACAGCAATAAGTGGAAAGCTGGGGACAGTGCAGGAACATTTTTTGCTACAGATGGGGAGTAGGCCCATGCAAAGCTAGTATCATCATAATTCCCATCTCTGGTCAGAATGTAGCAGCATGAGGTGCTGTTTTATCTGCATTGCTATTTTGCATTAGTAATTCTGTTTTTATTTTTTGGATTTACACAACTGAAAGAAAGTGACATTTTGAGTCTAAATATCTTATGCAAAACTTCCATGTGAAAAATGAAAACAAAACTTCAAATTAAAACAACAGTTTGCATTTTCTTTCCAAATACATTCCAATGCATTTTCTTTCAAAATGAAACTTCTGATTTCTCTTTGAATTTTGAAAGGTTATCATTCTCTGCTGAAAAACGATGGTTTCAGTGAAACCACATTTTTGAGCATGGAGACCTTTCACATGGGAGGAGGCAAGTCAAGCCCTACAGGCTGGGTATGACTTTGCACTATATTCTGCTCCATGTGCTACTGTGCACGTACAGCCTCTCCACCCTTGATGTGCACGCTCCACCTTCCTTTCCAAAAAAGCTAAGGGCCTTTGTTGAGGTTCCAAATTTTTCTGACAAAAAAAAAAAAGGCTACATTTACAACAGCAGCTTAACACGACAACTCTGATATCAGCAGTACCATATTTTGTAAGCTTTCAGCTATCTAGTCCTACCCACCACCTTTCTATCAAAAAAAAAAAAAAAATACAAATCATTTTAATCTGGCCTCACTCATACAAAACCAACACAGATGTTGCTTCCCAAACAGCTGCAGCCTGTGCAGGCAAATTCAGGCAAACTACAGTTAATAAGCTGAGCAGCGATGTACAATTATGCTTGCCCAACTTGGCACTGTCTCTGCTCTTGTGCAATAGTGCTTACAGATCCAAAATGTCCTGCTCTGCACATCTTACAACCAAAAGGAAACTGGCCCCACTGCCTTAGAAACACTGCTGTTTCTTGTGAGCTCAATCATTCTGCTGTCTGTCACTTACAAGTGTCCAGCAAAGATGCCGAATTTGAGTGAGTCTAAGACAGAAAATGAACAAGTTTTGAAGCTATTAGACACATAACTGCACTAATTAAGAGACAGCACTAGCGCACTGACACACTGATGTGGCTGCATCCAGGATCCACATGTACTGCACTTTGTCACATACAGGTATTTGCTATCCCAGAGGTGGCTAGAGGATAGATTGCACGAGTACAGACAGGCTCAAGCAGTAACAAACCTGCCTTTTGCCCCCAGAAAACAGACTCTACTAGATACATTGCCTTCGATGCACACAAACAAGCATGGTCGTAGGGACATCATCAAGGACTGAATTTCCCCAGAGACTTCTGCCACTTGAACTTAAAGGTGAACCGCAGGCTCCCAGTAAAGAACAGGTTTTTACAACCCCCGCTAAAGACAGAGAAACGTGAGCACACAACTTGAGGCCACACACAGAATATGGATAGAATCGTGCCCTGTGACTTCCAAGCCCTCAGGCGTCTGCATTTCTTTAGCTGACAATCATAATAAGGCATAAAAAATAAACTTTTTTAAACCTCTGTTTAGAAGGTGGCAAAGTCCCACCCACGGTAGACCAGAGCCAACGTGCCCTGCAGTCAGAGCTCAGATATCACTATGAGGGGAGCAATACGGATGGAACAGATCAATCAATCACATTGTAAATTATCCTGCTCCTCCCAAGAGGTGAATCAAAATTTCCATGATTGCACAGACTTGGAGGTTTTTGTCCTTGCCTGGAAACCAAACAGAAGAACATCACAGGAAGGTTCTGGCAAGGTATTCATAGCATTATTTCCCCCCGGTTTGGGATAATAACACAGTCTGTCCTTTTGTAGTGCCTTTCCTGTAAGAAATTCAGCTTCTAATTCACCAAAAACTCTGGGAAGCAGAACAAGCTGTTCTGATCTATGGCGCTGAAAACATAGAAAGGAGTAACTTCATACAGCTTGCTAATGAGTCAACAGCAGAGCTGGGAAAGGAACACAGGTCTCCTACCTTGCATCTCTTACCGATTATGCTACAGAACAGCTTTATTTAGAAGAAAGCACAGAGCTACAAGGCTTACTTTGAAGAAGCTCCTGCTTCAAGCAGGAGCCTCTGATAATAATGCACGATTCACAGCTTCAGGAAAATGCAAGGGAAGGTTCCCAGAAACTTCACTGATTTTACATCAGAGCTCAAGAGTGAGAAGAAAGCTGTACTCCACTGAGACTTGGGAACAACCTTCAAGGTAGCAGGAGGCAGATTAGAAGGACCACTGACCTCTCCCTCGTCTTTTGAGAGTAGCTGTCCACAAGAAATAAAGTCTTCATATTTGGCGAAGGGGATGACAGGCTCTGGCAGCTCTCGGAGGTAAAGCTTCAGGAGGGACGCCACAGTGTGAACATCTGTGTTGCTGCAATGAGAGAAGAGAGAAGAAAATTTAGAAACCCATGCTACTCTAAGGCTAGCCACCTTCTGGAGGGGCACAGGAAGGCCCCTCTTGGGGAGAGGGCCAAAGCAGGCACATGGAGGGAGGCTGTTCTGCCACATGCCTGTACGTGGCAGGAAGGGCTACCTGGGAATGGGGGAAATCGTCCACTCTCTCAAGATAAGAAGGCATCTGGGACAATAGAGGCAGCAGAAGGGATAGGCCCACAGCACTGCATCAGGTATGGTGGTCCTGAGGTTCCTCAGCCAGTGCAGATCAGGAAAGCGAGCGACACAGTCCAGGCAACACACAGTGATTGATCGCTGTTGCACTGACAACAGAGCTCTGCATCTTTATGCAGTCGAAAAGATCCAGGCTTTGAGATGGTAGTATAAGCTCTGATCCTCTCACTCATCCCTTCTGCCTCACGCTCTCCCAGCCAGCATCCACTTCTGTGTCTGATAGGCCAGGCTCTCCAGTGCACAGGTTGATCCTTCAGAAAAAAATGGAGGAAGCTCTGTTTCCCCTAGGCCCTCTGTTGCTGTTTGGCATAGCTACCCAGCTGGGAGGTCACATTATCTCCCCCCGAGCTGGGGCATCTGAGATTTACTATTCCATTATGCTGGGATATCACAGTTTCTCTTTTCTGTCCCACTCCAGAAGTTTCTCTCCCCTCTTCTCTCTCCTTTTTTGGGTTGGGGTGTCAGATCCATGATGAAGATGCACCTTTTCTTCCCTTTCCATTTCCTAGCTGATTTTTCATCCAAGACAGTATCTTTCTCTCATTCCAGGTCTTCTCTTGTACAACTGTTGATCTTTGCAGTTGACCTTTTCAAAGGTTTAGACCACTGGAAATCTAGACAGATCGTGTCACCAGCTCCCGCCTGCTCCCCATTGCCCTGCCAGCCTATAAAGAATTCTGGGAGAAGCACAGCAGTAACCATGGGGCAACAGAGCCTCAGATCCTCGCCTCTGTCTAAAGGCTGAATCTCTTCTGCTTTGTATGTTTTAAAGCATTTTTTTGAGAAGTAATCAACTCTGCCAAACACTGCCTTTGCTGCTGCAAAATATAGGCACAAGGAGCTCTACAGGGCTCCTTAAAAGACACAGCCCACCTGAGTGAGAGTCCTCAGCTCTGCCCAGCAATCAGGGACCTAGTGAAGTTATCTGCCTTCAGACTGTGGAAAGGTAAATTGGGGAGACTAAAATTTCCCAGTGTACTGACTCACGAACATTCCTGGATCGAGGTCAAAAGCATAACACTAAATTTCTTTTGTCTTCTTAGCAAAGAAGCACAATCACTGCTACCCAGGAATGACAGGTAAAAGCTGTAATATTGTCATGACTGCCTAAATGTTTCAATAAGCAACAGCTACTGGTTTCCCAGCAGCGCCCTACGAAACCCTATACGTTCCGTGTGGCCCAGTGCATTCTCCGCAATGGCAGCGTAATACACCTTAGGTACAAGTCGACCCTTCAGTCTCTCACCCCTAGAAATATGACAGCCCAAATTTCTATGAATTTGTGTCTCATCATTGTCTCACTTCAGTTTATGAAGTATCTCAAGCTCTAACTGAAGTTTATTTTGTGGTCAAGGCAGTTTTAAGGAGCTTTTCGCATGTGGATTCTCAAGTCTAAGAGCTGAACTCACACAGCAGCCCTTCCACAGACAAAGTACTTGCAGAGATTCTGCTTTTATTCTATTCTTATGAAAAACTTTGGACACAATTCTCTTGGGAAACTTCATCCTTGTTATTTTACTGAAACTTGCCAATAATTTTCAAGTTATTGGGAGAGGAGAGAAGTAGACAGGCAAGCATACTGATATCAGAAACCGTTAAAATAAAACAGGAAAAATTACAGTAGAAAACTGCCAGTGTTTTAATACGTGCAAATATTTGACCATTTACTGCTAATTCTGATAATGCTGTTCATATTCAACAGCTCCATCGTATTTGAGAACACTGCAGTTCTACAAAGCGGTTTTTGTCAGTTGATCACAAATACTTTACAAATGAGGTTGCTTTTTTTATTGTTTTATTGTGGAGCTTCAGGCATGAATGGTTGATGTGACCATCACTCAGCAGCAGAGCCCAGCCTACAGCTTCAGGTCCACTGACTGCAGTTTATTGTTTCACCCACAAGACCAGGTGAAATCCAGCCTGTCAGTGGCACAGAGGAACAGTAGGAGTAGATTGCCATAGGTGCTTCCAAAACAGCAAACCCTAGCCTTTTCAAAATACCTACATATGCATTTAAGACCCAGACCTTTGGCTTTTAAAAATAAATATTTTAATTATCAGTCATCACAGAGATTCACCACGGGGCAGGCAAGTTCTAACAGAGATTTTCATTTAGAAAATTAAGCCAACTTGAGTTCCTTGTGGATGCAAAAGACATCTAAAAGCAATGACTGCAACTAAAAAAAAAAAAAGGATATTCCTTTCATTATACCTGATTTGGAAACAAACATATGGATTTCACACTTGCAGAAAATATTGCCTTTGCCTATGCTTCCTAGGCCACACATGGATAGCGTTAGCTACACGGAGAAGAAATTACACTTGCTAGGAGGAGAAGCACTTCACTCAGCCAGGGTGTTGGCTCTCCTTTGCCATTCATTGTGACTACAGATATCAAAGGCCAGAGAGCTGGGCCTGCCAGCCGCGGTGATGGTGATGGCTTCAAGAAGAAGCTTCAGCAAGAGGGCTGGGCGTCTTCAATTGTCATACTACCCCGGTACCCCTGTGCTCGCCTGCTCTAATTCTGTGCTGAAACTTCAGTTCAGTGACATGACATTTCAGACTAACTAGCCCAAAGGCAGGCATCCCTTCCTGGAGATCTGCCCCACTTCAGTTAAAGGTGAGATTTATCACTGATCTATTTAACCAGTGCAAATAACAGTACTTTCTCTATTAAGAAATTTGGGGGGAGGTTTGTTTATCTTCATGACTTTCTTCACAGTGAAATTACTACGATTAGACTAAGGTGAGACATGAAATCAGGAAGTTGCTATTCCCGATTACTTCTCTCTGTAGATACTCTTGTTCCAGAATGTATTGAGTTATTTTGGAAAACACACATTCCCCACATCATTTGAGACAATTCTAATTCTGAACAAGAACATCCAGACCCTTAGTTAAAAAACAAAGATTTTGTTTAAGAAAAGATGAAATAAGAAAATTTGAAAATTTCAAACTTTTTTTTTTTCATGAAGACGTTTCTAAATATTTGACGTTTCCAGTTAGGGAGTAAACATTGACTGTGGTTAAGAATCAAAGAAACAAGGATGGGTGGCCTGGAAGCTGAGGCTAGGGAAGAATTAGAAGAATTTTCTCAATAAACTCTAAGGATATTCTTCCAGGGTGAGAGCAACCACTGCACTGCCCATGCAGGGGAGTACTACCCCCTCCTGCAGCAGACGCAGGAAGATACGTATCTGCAGGGTGGAGACCGGCTGCAGGTCTCCAAGGGGAAAGCAGCCTCCTTGGTTGATGTTACCAGCAATAACACCTGAGTTCAGACACTGCCTGTGTCAACTAGGAAAGCAGTCCTAGTGGGATTCGGCAAGAAATGGATCAAGGTCTCCAAGTCCAGATCTGATCCCACTCCTGGGCCTGTAGTAGAGATTAGGCCAGATCTATGCAATGGCCCTGAATCCAACATCCTTGGACTTCAGGAGTCTGTTAGGGTCAAGAGCCGTTTCTTAAGGGACTGGTTAGGTTAGCACAACGCTGACCTTCACTCTGGGGAGAAGGTGCATGTGGGAGAAGGGAGAAAACATTAGTTAGAGGGCGTGGACAGGATTTGGCTGTAAGTGCCCTGAAAGCATCCCCCCTCCTAGAGGTCTGTCTGTCTGGGCCTGGGGCCAAGGTGGAGATAACGCAGCTGAGGGCTGTCCCCTTCCTTTGGTGACCTTGGATTGAGTGCTCCCAGACAGCGCTGCAGAGAGGCCTCCGCCAGGGCTAACCCCGTCCCATGGGAGTGGATTTTAAGCTGAGCCTCTGCCATCTGTCCCCTGCCAGAGCTACAGCTCCTGCTGTGTTGCAGCCATGCCTGTACCTGGCCACAGGCCCTAGTGATCTGGTCCCAGACCCTGATCCACAGACTGACTTCCCAGCCTGGCCTTGGAGCTGCCTCATCACTGCGGACCTGCCCAGGAGTCAGCAGGCTGCGTCTGGCCGGCCCGCTTTGCCTCATTTCGGTACTGTGGGACTGGGTCCCTGTGCCATTGCCCCGACAAGCTCGTTATTGCATTGTTATTAGGGCAATATTGTATTGCTTGTTATTACAGCTCCTGGCTCGCCTTCCCTTGTGGAGCAGTCAGCCCTCGCTGCTGTCTGACATTGGCACGGCCAAAAGGACCAAAAGGCAGCTAACATTCCTTTGTCCCAGGCAAGGAGTGATTAACATCAAAATTGTTATAAGGGAAAAAAATGCCATTTTTATTTTTTCCCTTATAACAATTGGTGAAAGTTCTGGTGAAAAATCAAAACAGAATGGAAAGGAACCCAAGATACGTTCAGTTTTGAATTTAAGTTCCATTAGTTCCATCCCAGTTGCTGAAATTCTGCACCAAAACAGTTCACTTTGGCCAAGAATTTCCTTTCTGGGGTCAGAAAATGCTGTGCTGTAACACGCTGAGAACTCTCTACATTGCACCCATAATAGCCAGGGAAAATTTGTGAGACGCAGGTGACTACTCTAAAGCCTGGTGACAAAGGAAGAGGGGGAAGGGTCAAGGTGCTGCCCTCAGGCATATGTGCTGTGAGGAAGGGAGGATGCAGTGCATGAAAGAGGACAGACAGCTAGTTCACCTCTGTCATAGGCATTACTATAGTCGGATCCATCAGCTGCTGAGTATGCTGCACCCAAGTCCACCAAAGCATTTCAGTATGTTTTTAAGTTAAACACTGGAGTAGCCCCATCTAGACTGCTGGGCTCAAGTTTCTTCTTCTGCTCAAGTACTTAGGCTGAACATGGGCCACAGCACTCAGCATCGTGCCGAAGAAAGCCCCCAAGAGTGTTTTAAATGAAGGGAACAATGATGTGGAAAGAACATCTAACTATAATAGCCACTTCCAGGTCATTCCTGTCAGATTTTACTTGCCAGAGGTAAACTAGCCTGAAATTTGCGATGCCAACTCACCTGTCAAAGAGGGGCTTCTCTCCACAGTCGAAGGAATCCTGCAGATCTTTGACAAGGTTGGCTTGGCCAGGCATCCGAAAGAGCCCCTCCTCAGTAAGACCTCGCTCCCTAATAAAATCCGCACACTGTTCCACCAGCAGCGGGGCCAGCCGCTGGCCATACTTCCTCTCGTACTGTACCGTGTCCTCCAAACGCTGCCCAAAGATCCCTGCCAACAGACAGCAAAAGAGAAGTTCTGCTGTAAGCTGCACTTTTCCATGAGCTGCCGCACAGGGCACAGGATGAGGGAGTGGAAACTGTTTCACAAGCAGCCAGTGAAGCTGGCATGAAGATCCAGTTTCTGACAGATTCAAAAGAATAAAAGAATTTTAAAAAGCAAGTAGAATTACCTGCTGAGCATTTTGTTCTGCTTAAGAATGCTTTAACTTCTGCCCAGGTCAGTTTATACCGGTTATAGCCAAGGAAGGCAAAACAGCATTGCTTATAGCAGCGGTGCTGACTGACTGATGATGCATGGATTAAGTCATCATACTTCCATAGCATCTTCTGTCCCAAGGACTCCAAAACAAAGGCTACACTGACTTTTTGGGACACAGTCATTTTCTGCAAGCACCCACCTCTTAGCTAGGACACAGCTATCCTTTAACAGCCGCAGGTTGCAGCTGCGCAGCCCAACAGGTAGGATGATAAGCAAGCCTGCCACGGGACTGCTAACATGACAGAGTATAGTCGTCAAAATTAGAACTGGCTGTTGTTAAAATCCCCCGTCATCCTGCAAGTGTTGGATTTCTATTTCTCCTTTAATTTAAATCAAAAAATAAAAATTAAAATTTTTATTTAGGGAGTAAAATACATGCAATTAATTGCTTTCCTACTGAAACGCGTGCCTTACTTCCTGCACCTCAAAAGTATCAGAAGCACCAGATAGTCTAAACACAGGCTGGCCACAGGTCTTTCTTAAGTCAAACCTAGAGCAGGTATCATCCAGCGTGAAGCACTGGCTCCCTCTTTGGGGAACTGGGAATTCCTGATCATACCAGCTGCTGAACTCCATTACTGGCACACATCAGACCTTTCATACAACACAGAAAAGGCTCAGGCTTTAAGATCCAGAGGTCTTAGTTCAATCCATGCCTCTAGGGGACTGCTCCATCTGAAACACAGTCTGGGAAACATGTTCTGCAACCATAACTGTAGCACCCTACCAGGCGTAGAGGAGTCGGGGAGGATATCATCCAAGTTAACCCCATTTTGGAAATGAGATATTCAGCAAGTATCAGAATCCCCAAGCCTACTCAGTTTCAGACAAAGCCAGACCATAGCAGATAGGAAATTCTTTTCAAAGATCACTCAGAGCAACAAGAAACTTTCTACTCATTTCAAGGAGCTCTAGATCATGCATTTAGCACTCAGTGCTGCAGGTTTGAAAAAACGGCAGTATACAATACTGGAGTTACACTGTGTTTGCACATGCTTATACCAGGGCAGAGAATTTGCTTATTTCTTAAAGCTCTACTTACCTTCCTGCAAGTAACCACACTTTCCATTTTTATTTTAGTGCTATATTCATGGGAGGCTGAAGACTGCTGCCAGGAAATCTCCTAACCACCATTCACTATCCTCCATGGCATAAATCATATCAAATCAGACCTGCATTCTGTATTCAGTCCAACCCTGCTAAATCCTTGCTGAAACAAATTTTCCACCAACCTCAGTTTCAACTCTCTGAACGAGGCGTGCAAGAAGGATCCAAAGTCCAAGGTCCTTTCCCTGCCAGTTTGTGACACATCAGAAGACAGAACCTTTCCATACACTTCAGCCTACACAACTGCATTACAATATCAGAGCCGGAGAGCCATGAAGAGTCTTGAAGGAAATTCCCTTCTTATCCTAGCAAAATACTATGCCCTGGAGCATGGGAGTGCATTATCTTTATCACTGTAAATTCTGGTTTTCTTGCAGAGTAAAGGTTTTACTAGTTCTAGTTTCTAATCTGTTTATGAATTTTCACTGAGGTGTGTGTCTCTGAAGTTACATTCTGGGGCAGGGAATCTCTTCCTGCTTTTGCACAGATTGCTTTTTAATCTCACCAAGTAATCCCCACTGTCATTAAGGGGCAGAGTAAAGCAGCATAGCAAGACCATTCAGTATGTGGGGCTCAGCATTGTCCAAGAGCTCCCAGGGCACTTACAGAGGCTGGGCGGCCATGAAAGAACAGCCTTTCCAGCCCACTTTCTCAGAAAACGTCTCCATCCAGATTGCAGCTGAAAAAGTGAAGCCTGTTTGTCCTGTCCTCTCTGCTGAGGCTGCCAATGAGGGGACCCACCAGCAACTCAAAAGTGCTTATCATAGCAAACACACAAAAGAATAATTCAAGTAATAGGAGTTGCAAGGTACAATGCAGGTCCCTCACCTGTGAAAGGCTGAGCAGGAGCACATGTCCAACCTCCTTCAGATTATTCTGCTAATGACCCTGTCTCCCCCTTCCTCTGAACTGAACGCTTGATCCTGGGCTGGGCCATGGGCCAATGCAAACCAAGGTCCTTCAGCATTAGTTACAGTAAGCTTGGACCAGACACCAAGCTGTGCACTCTAGAGAAAAAAAAAAAAAAAACCCTCCATATCCAGGTTTCCTCCTCAAAATGGTATTTGGTATTTACTTTTCTTGATGCAAGATATATAGGGTTAGGGACATAGGTCTGTGGTAGATGTCAGGGCAATCACAGCATAGCAACACTTGTCTTCCCAAATCTCTACTTGTAGAATCATGGTCTAGAGTCCCAAACAGTGAATCTGGAAATCTGGAGAAAAACCGGGAAAGTAAGGTAAGTGCTCTGCATCCCTGCAGGTACAGAGCACAGAATTAATGTTCTTCCAGAAGCCCATGTTTGGGTGCTCCAGACTTATCCCAAGCTAATCCCAAGCAAGGGGAAAGGCAGAATCAGACACACACATACGCGAACACACACACAGGAGAACTGCATGCATAATCTCCACTTGCAGTGTGAAACTTTATCTGCTTTTCTCTAGCCTTGGCTGGCCATGCTCTAATGCATTTCAGGTGACATCAGTCTGTGCTTGCCCAGTCAACTTGGATCACAACCATAGTAGCTTCCTGTAAGTACAACCAATGTCCAGGACTCCTGGGCAGCATGTTGCCTGCAGCCAAAAGGAGATACAGAGGTTAAGGAATGTGACTTTAAGCTACCAGATGAAGATGGAAGGGTGACATACTTTCAGATCCATAAATAGAAGCAGTTGGACCTTCTGCAAACACAACATCCATTTTTCTCTAGGTGGCTGCTGCAGAACCAGCCACTGGCGACACCTATCCTTTCCCCCTTCTCAGGCATGGAGGTTGGTAGCATCCTTTTCTCCTGGAGAGAAACATCAGTCTCTGGAGGATACCAAAGCACTGTAATACTCTTCCACAGTATTGCTCACCTCTCTGTGTTCACACTATTTCAAATACGTAGCAAGAAGAAACAGCCATGAAATCAAGACTGGCATGAGTAAGGAAGAAGCTCATCTACCCCGTGATATGATGAGTGAAAAGAGCTGGACTGGCACAAGCAAGGTTCCCTTCTGTGCGACAGCGTGCGCTCAAGGGCTCTGCATGGCAGAGCTCACTCAGCCCTCCAGGTTAGCCAGTTTCCGCAGAGGCATAAAAAAGGCCCTCCAGCCATCGCCAGAATGAAAGACCAGGATGCTCTCTTGGCAGCCCCGTTATGGCCCAGCTCCAACTGCAGATCTACATTTTCTATTTCTCTCAACCCTGAATCCTAATTTTCCAGGGGAGTGCTAGAAAAGGCCCCCAAGCATTGCCCAGACAAAATGCTTCTCCCAAACCAAGTCTGTTGATAGCTCCAATTTCCCTTTGCAGACCCCTTCCAACACCACTTCAACTGCAGCTCTTTCTCTTCAACTCTCTTTCTCTTCAACTGCTTTCTCTTTCACTCGGCCTCAACCCTAATTATTTTATGGGGCTGTAAACAAGGTCCTCCAGCAATTGCCCAGACCAGACTTCTGGCCTAGCTCTCCATGCAGCCCCCACTTTCCTTTGGCAGTTCCTTTCCAGACATGCGCACACTGCAGCTCTACGTTTTCTCTTTTTCTCAACCCCGACCATAACCCTAAGTTTCTTGGGCAGCCTTAGTCTTGGCCCCTCAAACGATGCCTAGAAGAAATCTTTCTCCTAGCCCAGGTCCCTTGATGCTCCCAACTTTCCTTGGGCAGCCCCTTTCCAGCTGCACTCCCACTGCAGTCCTACATTTTCTCTTTCTCTCCACCCTAACCCTAATTTCTTTCTACTGAACCACAGACAGAGAACCCCTCCCCCCAGCTGTTGCTCATGTTGCTACACCTCTTGGCTGTAAGAATATTAGGGTTAGGGTTTATTTGGCTTTAGAGAGAGAAAGCATAAAGCTGCAGTTAGAATAGGGCTGGGAGGGGGCTGCCGAAGACAAGCAGGGATGCCAAGAGAGCTGGGCTTGGTGAAACTGTTCATCTGTGCAATGGCTGTACACCTCATCTGTGGCTTGGAAGAAGAAATGAGGGTTAGGGTTGCGAGAGTAAACTAAGAGAGGGGAGCAGGGATATCTTTGCAGTGGGGCTGGAAAAGGACTGCTGACACAAGTTGGAGCTGCTGACAGTCCAGGGCTGGCAGAAATCTTTCCTCTGGGCATCTGCTGGGGGGCCTTGACTAAGTCTGCCCTCAGGAAGATTAGCATTAGGGCTCTCACAGACACAGCTATGCTGGCAAGAGACACAGCAGATTCACACAGTTCAATCTCCAGGGCTGAACAGGGCAGACCGGGGAGACAGTATCCTGTTAGCTCTATAAAGGTCATCTCACTTCAGCTGAGTCCCGCAAGGGCTTGTAAAACTGAGGTGGTCAAATATCCCTGAAACCAGCAGGCTATGACAGCATTGCTGGGCAGGCAATGCCCTGCTTTGCAAGGAAAAGCAAACATGGAGCCAGTTGCATACATCCTCATCTGCTGGCTCCTCGAGGCACAGGCCTGTTTTTAATCACTGGGGCCTGTAGCTCAGGCTGAACTTGGCAGTGTTTCACTCCATTCGATGATCCTGCTGGAACACATTACAGTCCTGCTCTTCATTCAGGGGAAGGGGAGCAAGTGCCATCCAAACACAGTCCCAGACAGGAGTAGGCTGGAAATAAAGCCAAAAGCTACTAGCAAACCAAGG